TTTTTTTTTGTATGTATCTTATTCCTCAATTATAAAAAATAAGGTTATCAATGTTACGTTGTAGCAGTTAATACAATCAGTGCAAACTGGTTTTAGACTTAATCTAGTACAATGTTAAATTTCGTTTTAGTCAAATATCGGTCATTTTGATCAAATTTTGGTATATTGATTAGTATTTCAACTTAGCAATTGGTACAGTTAAATCTTATTGCTATGAGGTTTTTTTATATAATTTTTTTTTAAAAAACATATCACTTTCCAAATTATATCGTAGAAATATGTTTGTATATTAGAAAAATATAATTATGAATGTACTTATCTTTTTATTAATAAAATATCTCTATTTTTTCTATGTATATACATAAATTATGATTCACATATCAAATTATTATTATTTTTAACTAAATAAGTCAAATATTATTTAATTAAATTATAAATTTGAAAAAATACATTGTAAATCTAAATAAATGTTTAATTTTTTTAATTGTCTTGAGTTTAGATTCAAATAAAAATATAAATCTTTTTAAATAAATATAAAATATGTTGATATACTTTTTTGTGATATTATAATATTAATATTTCATGAATTTTGTCATTTTGAATATGTTTTTAACTTTTAAAAAATTAGTTTTTTTAAGTATTAAATTTTTATATACTCACTAAATATTATTTCATAGTTATATATTTAGTTTATATAAAAACATATATTTACAATGATAAATCTAAAATAATACATGAAAATTTTTGATATTTTATACATATATTTTAATAACAAAATTGGTATAGATATTAATAACTTTGATAAAAAAAAATTACTTTTTAAGTTATTTTATTAGTTAATTTATTAAATTTATTTCAATATGTACATTTTTAATCTTTCAATATGTATATTTTTAATCTTTCAATTTAAAATTTTAAAAATTTAAAATATACATATATAAACTATTATAACTCAATTTTTTCTAACTCTTTTAATATTTTTACCAAAATCTTAATTTTTTTAAAAAATATTAATTTCTCATAAATTCTTATGTTTTAAATGAAAATTAAAATATTTGAGCTTTGACTTGACGTGGGAGATTAATTCCGAAAATTTGTTTAAAAAGAAATCGAGGTTAAATCAAATTAATGTCATTTTGTACTCAATTGGAAACATTTAAAATACAAGCTTTGTTTTGTAGGGACCCAATTGCAATGTGGTTTCAATGCGGATGACAGACTCCCGTCCTTTGCACCTGCAAGCAGCAGGTTCTGTCGGAGAAAGGA